GGGCCCGCGGGGCCCCCAGCAGCAGCCGCGGGGTGATGGGGAGTGGGGGGGGCCCGCCGCGAGCACCCAGGATCAGCCCCGGGGTGATGGGGAGTGGGAGGGACCCGCCGGGAGCACCCAGGATCAGCCCCGGGGCGATGGGGAGCGGGAGGGACCTGCCGGGAGCACCTGTGACCATCAGGAGGGACCCGATGGGAGCCCCCAGGACCGGTCCCCGGGGTGGTGGGGAGCATCAGGGACCTGCTGGGACCCCGGCAGCGCCACCCACCCCTGTGTGCCTGCCCAGCTGGCTCTCACCCACCCAGGTACTCGGGGGTGCCGCAGGGCTCCTTGATGAGCCCGTTCTCCAGCTTGGCCAGGTGGAAGTCGCTGATGACAATCTTGGAGTTCTTCAAGCGGTTATAGTACACCAGGTTCTCCAGCTGCCAGTGCAGGGGCTGTGAGCGCCGGGGCGGGGGGCACACCAGCACCCAGGGGTGCTCCCAGCCCCCCCAAACACACACACACCTTGAGGTTCCTGTGGACGATCTTGAGCGAGTGCAGGTAGGCCACGGCCTCCAGCACCTGCCGGATGACGTTGCTGGTGTCCCTCTCCGAGTAGTAACCCTGGTCCAGGATCCAGTCGAAGACCTCCCGGCCGGTGGCCCTGCCGGCAGCAGCTCTGCCGAGACACACCCCCCCCGTGGGGGCACCCCCAGCCCGACCCCCCCCAGTGCCCCCCAAACTTACAGCTCCAGGAAGATGAAATACTCCTTGCGGGTGATATAGACATCCACCAGCTGCAGGATGTTGGGGTGCTTCACCCTGCAGAGAGACGGGGGAGTCAGCGGGGGGTGCCCGCTTTGCCCAATGGCACAGGAGCCCCCCCTGGCCCCAGCACTCACATTTTGAGGATGATGATCTCGTTTTTGGCCGCCTTCCGCACTTTCCGCCCGTCCCGCTTCAGAAACTTCTTGCAGGTGTACAGCTTCCCTGTCGTCTTCTCCTTGGCCCGGAAGATTTCGCAGAACTCCTCCCTGGAAAGGCGCCCGCAGCTGTCACCCCTCCCAGGGACCGCCGAGCTCGGGACGCTTGGGTGGCCCCTGGGCCCACCAGCATCCCCCCCATCCCAAGTGGGAAGAGGAGATGCCGCAGGGGTGGAAGGAACCTGCGGCTAAAAACCTCTCCGGAGCAGAGTGGAAAAAAAAAAGGGCAGTGAGAAGGAATCGATATGGAATACGCAAATTGATAGGGAAGGGGGAAAATTTGCCGATTAAAAAGCCCCCTCCCCACGGCAGCTGGGGTAGGACCCGCTGCAAAGCTGCCCGTGCCAAGGCAGAACAGCAGCACACCCCGACGTCAATGTGAGCACCGCAGTTGGGAAGAAAGAAGGGGAGATGTGCTGGTTGCCCGGGGATGCTGCAATATTTCTGTTCTATTACTAATGGTGCTCGAGCCCATCGGCCAGGCAGGAGCCGTGGGGGAGCCCGTGGGGGCACTCGGCACTGCTCTGGCAAAGCCTTTGGCTTTCCAACCCCCCAGGCTGTGCCGAAATCCTCGTGGCTGCTGTCCCGGGTGCAGGGGAACTGGGACCCATGGGCTTTGGGACAGGCTGCCCAGAGGACAGAGCAAAGCTCTGAGAGCACCTAAAAAGGTCCCCGATGCCACCCAGTGTCACCCTGCCAGGCGCGACCCACGGCCAAGCGGTCCCGGTGTTTCGGAGGCTGACGGAAAAATTTCTGGCATGTGTTTTGGGGTCAAACCGCTCTCAGTGGGTCTGAGGACTTCGTTTTGTGGAGCGCTTCCTAATGGGTTCCCCCAGCACGGCAATAAAAGTTGGGGGTAAGCAGCAGTGCTCCGCTCCCTCCCAAATGACATCTGCCCTTTCCTTTGCCGGAGCACTCGGGGGAGCCAGGATCGTGCGGAATTGCTGCAATCTCCGCAGATCCTGGGGGGAGGAGGGAGGGATATGGGGAGCCGCCCAGCTGCAGCCGGCAGCAGCAGGGAAACCTCATTGCCCTCCTTGGAGCCGGCGGTGAATACCCCCATGCACCCACCAGCGAGAGGGGTTAATTAGGGAACAGCCACCCCGAAATGCACTCTGCCCATCCCAGCTGGGGGCCGGCACCGCAAAAGCTCCCGCGGGCAGCATCATGCTGCTCCTCAGCCTGGGGCACGCAGGCGGTTGGGGTCCCCGGGGCACCCCCGGGGCCGGGGAGGGACCAACTCACGTTTTGATGACCTGGCCCAGGTCATATCTGTCGGTCACCTCGGACGGCTGGTTATAATCTTTCTTGTCTCCCAGCGTCACGCAGCCAAACGGCATCGCAGGGCCCGGTGCTGGCAGGGCAGGGAGAGGCAGTGAGCGCCCTGGCACCGCCGGCCCCCCTGGAGCCG